CTTAGCAATTGACGCGCCCGAATCACTAATCAATTAAATTTCGTAGGAATACGTTTCGTGTGTCGCAATTGTCAACCGCCGTTGCAATCTCATGGCCACTTAGCATGATGTAATTGTAAAATCACTATGTTTACCATATAAGATCACAGTGCATATTTACTCTTTGAGTCGATAATGATTCGAAGATGAAATTGATTTATATTATATCATGATTATAGTTAACTAATTAATTTTAAAAGTAAATTAGATTGTAGTTTTTTATATACAACAGTATTTTTTTTTACTCGCACGCAATTGTTTGCTCTTTGGTAAATTCATTTCCATAAATCTGGTATCTTTCCCTACTTTCGTAGACATAATGTGCAATGCATACTGTTGACTGGTATACCTTCCATCTGATTCACATATATTAATCATCATATAAATTTTACTTTATATGAGTCATTCCACGCCAAATCACAGATATTGAAGGAAAATTTTACCTTGATGATCCAGATTTTTAAACTTTATAAGATGCTTACATTACTCAATTTAACCATCATTTCTGACACGTGTCGTCATTGTGAGAGAAATGCAATATTTTGTGACGTGAGAAAGCAAGAAACGTGAAGTTATAAACAATATCGAATATTTATTTGAAGCGTTGATAACTGCTCTGCTTCAATGTTCAATCATTTACTATTAAATATAGATTCACAATTAAACAACTTATTTATTCATGATCTATAGTCATACACTTCACCTGACGCCTGGCATTATTTTTCTGTCCGTTCGTCCTCTCTCAATCACTCTAGAAACCCCATTTACACGACACCATGACTAGAGTAGGTACACTCGATGCAACGAATCGTTCTTTCATTTGATGTTGTAACAGTATATCGATTCACGCAGAATTTCGCGGAATTCGCGATGTATGCGGGCGCAGGAAGAGCTGCCCTTTTATCCACGGCCATCCTGCAACCACTCCCCCCTACGAGTTTCCTTTGTCGCAGGCCTGTTAGCCCTTCTTGGAAATGAGATGGACAGTCCCTCAACGGCTTGAAAAAACAACCCGGCCCGGACTACCGGATTCCGGGAATTATATTCTTCCCAGAAAGAAATTGTTTATAAATTACCATTTTTGGAATCCTAATCACTTTCACAAATAATTAAAATGGGCTTACGCCGATATTTGATTGGGCAAAGTTAGATCCCACTGTGAGGCCATTTTTGGAATCCTAATCACTTTCACAAATAATTAAAATAGGCTTACGCCGATATTTGATTGGGCAAAGTTAGATCCCACTGTGAGGCCGTTTGTTCAATAGAACGAATGGAAGGCTATGATCTTGGCAGTCCGGGTGACGCCGCGTCGAAGGCTGTGTTGCCGACGTTTCGACCTTCTGGCAGTGGTCTTTCTCAGAGCTGGTATGCCAACCAGCCTGGTATACCAGCCCTGAGGAAGATCACGACAAGATGGTCGAAACGTCGGCAACACAGCCTTCGAGGCGGCGTCACCCGGACAGCAAAGATCACGCATATGACTCTGGTCGCGGAAGCCTACGACTTCACGAATGGAAGGCTACTTCGCTGGTGAGGGAGTGGTAGCCCCGCCATCCCATGTCCACTCGCGCCCTACGAGTTTCCTTTGTCGAAGGACTGCAAGCCGCCTTCTTGGAAAGGTGGTCATACCTTGCTGAAATAAAATTATTTCTTCAGCTAATGGCCAGGTAGTCGATTAACGCTGCTGCATTTCTTTCCAATACTTGCGCTTAACGGTTAATTAACACAAAAAATGGGTCTGCTAATATCATAGTTACATTTCTTTAAATGTCTTTAAATCGTATTATTAACGAAATTGCAATTTTGAAATACATGCAACCAATATATAGGATGAGCCACGTAACTTAAGCACCTCCTGCAGTTTCAGAACGGTTGAAGTTATTGCTATGCCGTTTTCATTAAGGTGCTCGAGGGAATGCGAATAATTGATACATGTTTCATTCATTTCTATTTTCTCATTTGTATTTTATGAGATATTGAGGGATCTTTGTTTTTTCCTATTTTTAACTATACACTTTTTGTATATCATGACGAGCATAAAAGACGAATCCAATGATATTCATATTGTCATATGTTAAATAACATTGTTAGTGCTGATGTATCCTGTTCCGAGCTGCTTGACCATGTGTGGCAAACTGTCACATTCAAAATACCAGTTAAAGACGATTCGCAAAAAATCAAAATTACTCAAAAAATGTTTGTCTAACATATTACAATATGTATATGATTAGACGTGTATTTTTACGCTCGTCATGATAGACTAAAAAAGTATAGTTCTATTTCAAAAAAACCGACAAAGTTACCTCAATATCTCGTAAAATACAAGTGTTCAAATAGAAATGAATACATACATCAATTAGCATACATCAATTGAAAACGGCATTGAAATAACTTCAACTCATCCTGTATATTCGTGGATTAACCCGCAATACACCATTGCTTTCTGTCAAATCAACAATGGATGTGTGGATCTATGTAGATATGTGATTGTAATTGCTGACATTTAATATTAGAAGAAACAGAATAGAGCACAATCACACGAGCTTTCCTAGCATAAACTGTTTCTGAAAAACTGTGACCATAAGTGATTAAAGATGCAATTAAGTAATAAATATGAAAATATAAATTGGCATACATGATTAACGAATCACCACAAATATATAGTACGTATAAACAAATTTGTTTCAACAAAATTCCTACATATTGAAATATTGTAATACAAAATTACCGCCTCAGTTAATTAATAGTAGCAAATTGAATTTTGACTGATGTCCTCATTAGATTTAGTTTAAATAGTGACATGTGTTTCAGGTTTTGGAAGAGTCGCAAGCAGTTCCAATCTTCCTGAAGCAGCGTTAACCACACACGCACCAGCGTTGACCACTCGACCACCTAGTCGCCAATGTCGGGCTTCACATTTCTGGCACTGGCCGCTGTCCTATTTACGGGAGCACGAAACGAGAATGGGAAAGTAGCAGCATCAGCCAAACATCAGGTGACCGACGCCCCGTGCGTGCTCGACGTCATACGCAGGCGCTTTCACGCAAACGACTCCCTCATCGCGGAACTCATCCCTTGCTCTTACGAGGAGAAGGTCTGCTTTCGGTACAATCTGCTCTACCACCCTGACGAGGACAAATGTCGAGCTTTAGGAGAGAAGGTGCGCGACAATTGCACAGTAGAAGTGGACAGACAGCAATTTCAAAATGGGTGAGGAAAATTATTATCATTTACTGAACCTATTTTGAATTTACATTACACACAATAAACAGTAATGAAAGGGCAGCTAAATATAAAGTTGTTTAATACTACAAGTTATATTTGTTTAAATGTTACGAACTACATAATATGACACTTCATGTACCCTCAAAAATTAAGAAAAAATATGTCGCCTGTAAAACTCATGCCTTTTTATTGTAGAGGATTTTTCAAAAGTGAATTGCTTTCGCATTTCAGAATACTAAAATTTCGATATTTTTTACTATTTATTCTTATGCAATATTTTTTAAACAATTAATATTTGACCATATCCTAAGATTGCATTTTTATATATTTCAAACACTAAGAATTTTCGGGTAGAAAGTTCAGCCCAACTTATTTCGTGACTTTCGCTTTAAATGGAAGGTAGTGGTCTCCAAATGTGTTATGGCATGCTATTATTAATCTGTTTTATACCATAAATATTAAATTTCAATTAAATGGTAAACTCTGTAGACTGAACGCTTATTTGCCGCCATTTGTTCGTTACTTCGTCACAGAGCGAAGTAACGAACAAATAGCATAGCGTTCGTTACATAGCATATCTTTTGAAAAACCGATATTTTGTGTACTTATACCTTCAAATGAGCGTTAGGTTATAGTTAGCGACGCAAAAATCTCCAGTTTAAGTTCGAAGAAGGTTTTTCAATGCAAAGATTAGTAAATAAAGAACGCAATGTGCATTAATCGTCTGACACGCATGTCCCTTCACAAAAATGTTTTAGTGATTATAATTATTAATGTATTACGTTTTCAAGATAGACTGCAGGAGTTCTCTATCACTTACCATGTCACTACAACTCACATCGGTAAATATAAAACATTTTGACTGCGTTTTTAGAAATGTGTTCAACAGTATTTATCGTGAATAGTTGTTCTATTTTTATTTCATTAGTAAGCGAGAATAAGTAGTATTGTAAAAACATATACAATGGTTTGGGCCTTTTGATTTTCCGTTTAGTGAATATGTAGTTATTTTCAGCAGTTCTTCCTTTTGTGTGTATTTTCCTATGTGATGGCAAAGGTTCAACAAACTGATATAATAATTTAATTGTTCTCAAGTAAAGTTTCATGTAAGGATGCATGAATATTAGGTTGTTAACATTGGAATTAATAATTCGTATTGTTTACCACAAATGGTCGCAACAAAGCTATTGCTTATCCAGTTCGTTGATATTTACAAGGAAAATGTATATACTCTATATAGAAAAAAAACATACATCAGTCTATTCAGAAATGTTGGCGTTCAGTTTGCACAAAATTCTATTGTATTTCTTTTCGGATGTCTTCCTTCGGTGGGGGGAGGGGTACTTGCAACCTACCGTAGGTCAAGATGTAGTCTTTAGACGACTTCAACTGACTTTATCAGCATTACGATGTTTTAATCATATTATAATTCTATTAAGAGTATGTTCACGATTAATGTCTTATGATAAAAAAAGTAAAACTACATAAGAAACACATCAAATAAATAAAAAAATAATACACAATATAAACAAAAATGATAAATAAAAAATATAAATAAAAATTATAAATTAAAAAAATTATAAATAAAAATAAATAAAATAAAATAAATTAATTTAAGATATATAAAAGCAAATAAATTTAAAAAATATATAAAAATGAATAAATAGGTAAATAGAAAAAGGGATAAACAAATAGATTAATGGTCACGTATTTGCCTGCGCGCGGCGCGGCAGGTCCGGCCACTTGGTGGGGCGGTGCGCGGCGCGCGACCGCTGCCCGGGCCACCGCATGGCGTTCGACGGCCGCTGCTACCGGAAGCGCACGGTGCGCGAGGTGCTGTGCGGGTGCGCGGCGGCGCCCACGCCGCACGTGCTGGGCGGCGCCGAGTGTCGGTGCGCGCCGGCCGGCTACCTGCACGTCAAGCAACCGGCGGCGGCGCGCGCCTGCCGCGTGCCCGACCTGCGCTTCCCGGACGCGCGTCGCTTCGCCGCGCCCGCGCCCGCCGCCGCCACGCGCCGCGGCCCGTGCGCCCGCCGGCAGCGCGCCTGCTTCGCCCGCGGCGCGGTCTGGCTGGAGCATCCCCCGGGTTGCTTTCCGCTGCTGGAGACAGGCCCGTGCCCGCCGGGCCACGTGGTGGCGTTGGCCGGGAGCGGGTGGGAGACGGGTTGCGTGGACACCCGGCGCGGTTGCCCCCCCGGCTACAAGCGCCTGCTGTACGACCAGCTCTGCCACAGCGATCGCGAGCTGGAGATCGCGGTACCTGGGAAAGTCTTGCTGGGGCTCTACGGGGAATATGAAATTTGGGATAGTGACGTGGAAGTGCGATTTATTCCAAGAATAACAAACGGTCGCTGCGACATTCTTGTTAATGCCAGCGCCAGTTCCCTTTCTGGCCACCAGCGCCGAGCACCGTCGAGTGCGACAGCCGAGGGTCCAACCGCTGGAGAAGCACGAGGGCTTGAGGCGGGGCAAAAAGTGGCTGGAGCGCCCTCCGGGCTGTTTTCCTTTGCTGGAGAGAGACCTGTGACGCACAAATCACCTGGTGGGAGACGGCCCCTTGTGACTGGACGATGGATTTTGGCGACTTCCGATGCAGTAGAAATCCTGGATGAAAACGCATTCACTAGGATCAGCACTGCTCTGCAATCGGGAGTTGGAGATCAAAGTGAGTGGAAAAACCGTGGGGAAATCTTCTGGGAAAATGAGTAGACAATATGAAATTTGGAATACTGACGTTACGATGTTCCCTTTTTCAAATATTACGAATGGCAAATGCGATAGTTTTCATAAAACTGGACCTGTTTGTTCAGAAAAGTATTCTCCGCCAAATACCTGTGATTCTCACAAAAAAAGACTAAGCCCTTGAATCTAAAGTAGAATCATTCAGTGTAATTGTTTAGACATATTTGTTCTTCGGTTCCCTTTAAGTAAAATTATCTCTTTTTATAATGAAATCCCTTCTCAAAATACTGAATCTTCAGTCAAATCGAAACACATGCAAACCTGAATCTACAGTTCCAACTAATTAGTTGATGTGCAGTTTCTGACTAAACCGTTTAACGCAATGAATCTTAACATTTCCTACCAAACCCATTAGTAAATACAATCATATTTTAAGTGAAGAATGCATACTTTCTTCAGCGTATTTTTCTTGACATATTTGGTATATATGACTGCAAAATAAAACAGCTTTTCCACTTATGTAAAAAATCAAAAATGAAATTAATCGTGAAAAAAGAAAGTTTGTTTATTTTTTGTCTATCTTTTTGAATACCTTAAGAAAAATATCCTATTGAAATAAATATTCTGCCAGTTCTTGCAAATTAAAAAAAGAAATGTATTATCTTGCCAATGCCATTGGTATGTTTATGAAATATAATGTAGAAAAAAATCAAGATTTAAGTTCTTTTCAACTAATGAGATGTAGAAGTGTAAAATAAGTACCTTTGTTGAATTCAAAACTTACTCTTGCGCTGTTCTCTTATCCCAAACAACGTTAACTCTAAGGTAATATTTGCGTACCGTCTGAAACTCTTCCTTGTTACAAATACAGCAGTTAGTAGTTCCAGCTTTTACAACTGCTAGTATTTGCAGCGGAGTTGGAATCCTATTCTGCAGAGGAGCCAAGAGTGCAAAGACCCAACCTGCACACAGCAGGCGAATCTTGGCCCACTTCGCTCGCTTCCGTGTACGGAAACCCTGCTGCAGGAAGTTGCACTCAGAGGACTACAGGGGGCTCCAATAAGGTTTTTGTATACTAAGTCGAAAGATCACCAAACAAAAAATATTTAATGTATGTTCTTTATTTCAACTTAACTACAAAAATACTCTCAAGTAATAATTTGTGCCAATTCTATTTTAATACATCGCTTTATTTCATGAATATATGAATGTATATGAAAATTAGTATATGAAAATTAATATATTTCAATCGCATTATAGACTGATTATCTTGATACAATTATATTAATCGCGTTATTGCTAGATACAATTATTTTCACCATGGGTTGTTGCGTGGTTGGGTTCTCACACCGTCTCGTACCACATCTGAACCATCTTCTTCCGTGCTTAACCATTAATCTTTCCTTTCTAAAGAGTCAAGGCATGAACTGAAGTCACTGAAGTCACCGCAGTGCCTCTGACCGAGTGAGTTAGGTACGATTCCCAGGATTTTCAACATTAGCGACATAAAATAATTATAGACGTTGTCATTGCCAACAATAGTTGCCAACAAACGTCTATAATTATTTCATGAAAAATGCCAACGATAACGCACCACAACACCTATATTAGCGACATAGCTAGGTCGAATTCAGCCGCTGTCTGGAGGAGAATTTGAGCGGCCGGCTCTGATCAGTAGTTTTTCCATGGTTCTCCGATCAACACCAGGCTCACGCTACACTAGGCCAACAAATGGGCCGCAGATCGTGCGCGATCTTTCCTTTCACTTCCTTGTCCTCTCCTCGCCCCTTACTGACACGCACTTACACCACCTGATATGTCGGGAGACCGATTGGGAGCTTATAGGTGATCCCGGCTGGGGTAGTGCTTCGCTGGTGGGAGATACCAGATTGGAGAAAACCTCGCTAGAAGACAGAGAGGTCGGCGCTGAATCTCACCTTCTGCCACCTCCCGAGAAAGAAAGCATGCACTAAACTTAAGAGACAAACGATATTAGCAGTTGACGCACGCGAAATCATTATTACGCGATCATTTATTCGCGTTCCTCGTTCTATCCACTCGCGTGCACTACACTACCTCACATGTCGGTAGAATAATCAATCAATCCTTTCTAAATATGATTTCTAAAACAAGTAACCCCAGCCAGGCAATAGAATGTGACTATCTCACTGTCTTCACCCTGTGTGCAGGCCCCTTCAGTAGTTGGGCTTGAGAGATTCATCACCATTATTATCGGCCTGAGACGTAAACCGGGACCCGGCTTAGCTGGTTCAGGCCACCATGTTACTACAGGGCCTCTGATAAGGAGTTCCTAGGGTTCGAGTCCCGGCGGTGGCATGATTTTCGACACTAGCTAGATACGTCGATCGAATTCAGCCGCTGATTGGAGGATCATTCTCGCGGCATGCTGCTCTGATCGGTGGTTCTCCGCGAATTCTCTGTTCAATTCTCGGTGAATGCCGGAGTAGTGCCCTAACAAACGGGCCATGGTCCGCGCGCGATCATTTCTTCCTCTTCCTTGTCCTATCCTACCCCCTTACACACTGACGTGCACTACATTATCTCATACGTCGAGAGACTAATCGCGTTTTTGAGCTGGCCCTGGCTTTGGCGGAGCTCTGCAGGTGGAAGATATCTATTTGGGATTAACCGTGTAGGTCGGCGAAGGGAGGGGTGTATAGGTTGGCGCCGGATCTCTTAATCCAGCGGAGGAAGTCGCCACCTTCCAAGAAAGAAACGATCCTTAGCTTTCAGAACTAGGTCTAATAAGTGGCTGTGATGTAGATAAAGAACTAAGAGGAACAGGATGAGAGCGAAGACTTCCCAGCCGCAGTCAGAAGGGAGTTTGTGCAAACGACAACGGACAGCACTATCTATCTTCTGCGCATGAACAGATGCATTAAAGTGGTGCGAACCTTGTACTGCGCATGCGCAGAAGATCGATAGTGCTTTAACATTCGAGTAAACTCCATAGCATCCACTTGTCTGTGACCGGGAGTCGCCGCGTCCTACGCACACGTGCCAACTCATTCCGCCACCGTCATTCCACGACCAACCTCAGGCCGAATCGTTGGCATCTGCGCATTTCGCCCTGAGGAAGGTCGCAGACCAGCGTGCCTAGGACGAGGTCCGGCTATCTCCCGGACGTTCTACTGGCTACGTGATCAGTGAAGCAGCCAGCAGGGCGCCTTGGCGCCCCCTGGCCCGGACCGCGCGCGCGGAGGGCGAACGAAGAGGGAGTGGAGGGGGGAGGGCGCATTGTGCAGAACGCTATTGTTTTGCGCGCCCGCATGTGCGCCCCGGCGCCGCGCCGCCCCGCGCCGCGCTGCATCTGCATCTGCATGCAGATTAGTCGGACGCGCAAGTACGATAGGTAGCGAATGCTCGGCGCGCGCCGAGACCCGCCCGACGGCCGACGCTCTCGGAGCCACGGCCGTTACCCCGAGCCGCGCCCTGGCGCTCGAGCAGGCGGGTTCTTGCTTTGTTTCCTTTAATACAACCCTTACACGCATTTCGCTATGGAATATTAATATTTTTCTATTGAATACCAGCATTATAAATGATATTTTCTGTTGCTAGAAATCGTTCATAATTGAGAATTTTACGACAGAAATGATGACGTAATAGATTTTACTGCGTCATCACACTTTTAGCCTCTTGCAGGGACACAATCATGGGGAGGTAGACGTAAACGGAACAAACGACCACAGTTTTCTCCCACAGATGTCAAATACCTGAGACGTCACAAGAAAGTGGTTTCGCAAAATTAAGTTTGATACTCTTATAAATTTATAATGCTATTATATAAAAGAAAATAGCGTATGCAACTCTTTTATAATGTTGTTTTAGTGCATTCGTACAAATTTGAAAACTCGCTCTGAACGTAACTCGGTTTAAAAACATATACAATAAAGCTTAACATTATAAATTAAATGCAAAAACTATTACACTCCAATAATAGCAATGAAAAATAGATATGCGATTCATCCCCCTAGATTCTGATTTTGTGTCAGAAATAGAATGAATTTTATGCTTCCATAATCACTGCAAATTACAAGCTGTCACAAAAAAATTATAAGATCAGAAACTTGAGGTGAACACTAAATGGCCCTCTCTTTGTCTAACTTGTACCCGTTTTCATAGAAAACAGAATTATTACAACAACAACAACAACGACGCTTATTTTTCAGAGAAAATTTATTTTCTATTATTGAAAATAGTAAAATATTTCCTACAGTACTTTTAGTAAATCTTTCTTATTTTTTTATCAGTCTTTCCTCATGGTACTGTGCAGTAACAAAATGAATTGTTATTATCAGAATCCGATTTATACCGTAAGTTAGATGATAATTTTGAAAATAATGAGGAGGAAAATGATATCTGTAACTAGAGTACAAGAGAAAATGAAGACACAAATTGAAATATTTATGGAAATAAAGCCTGTAGCGTCACATTGATGGTGGATCTTTTTTAACTCTCACTTGGTATAAATATGGAAAAAAGTTTGCTGAATGCTGGGTTAAAGATAAATAAATCTCATCTACCATTTCTCAAAAAAGATGTTTACTTTCAGTCATGTAATCAAATACACAATAAAAACACCAATTAATTATATTTTTTCTGAAAACGACTGTTTAATCGTTTTAATTATTTTAACCTCTTCTTCCAGAATTGGAATCCATATATATGCTGAATGTTGTAGACGAAAGTGCTGAAATGCAGAGAAAATGTGGCCAAGGGAAGTCATTGTCAAATCAAGGTACTTAGTTGTGTCAAAAAGTGCATAAGTACCTTTGGAAGATCGGCATACCAACGCAAACTCGCCTCATATGAGTGTCCACTATTTCAAACTCAGAAGTAAAGGGGCGCTGTAATGAATTGTAATTTCAGCGTTGCACGTTATTAATCTTATTAATGGTACCGGTTCAATGTGGAATTGAATGCAATAATGAAGTGTAAGCCTGAATAAATTTGTTTTTCAGCACCTCTTGGCTCTTGTTTCCCTGAATCATGATTCTTTTGGGCGACTCACTGCAATATTTTGTGCCTGCTGATACCTCCCAACCTAAGAAACAGCTCCCCCCTCCCCCGTACAACTCGAGTGTTGCGTTGATATGGCACCATGGCAGGAGGAAACTATTTGTTTTAACCTGGCCTAGTATAGAGCGACGGCATCTTAGACGAAAGATTCATTGATGAAAACTACTTCTCTGGATAACCTTTACCTGTCAGAATATTTGCACGTTTTTTCTAAAATTTCCTGTCCATTGAACCAAATATTTCTAACGCTTTCTAACTAAGTTAAAGAATGTTCTTGAAATACAACACTGAAAATGTAACAACTGATCATTAAAATGTTCATTCATTGGTATAAACAACTATATTCACATTATACGTTTTTGTTTGTAGTGATCACATTTTTAAATAGAAATGGTCTGTAGCTTCGAACATTCATCTGAATAACATCACACTAATGCTTTTCCACAAATTAGCAAACACGGTTCTCAAAAACAAAAATTATAATTCTCTCGTGTAACACTGCAATAAACTAAATATTTTTACGAAAACAGACTTCATGAATACTGCTAAAACATAGTACAGTGTACAAACTGCTAAAACATAGTACAGTCTTTACATACCAAGAATATAAATGAAGTTGCTTTTCGCATCTGTTAATATCAAATATTTAATGACGGGTGACCTCTTCCTTGGAGCCTTGCTGGTGCATGAGGTTGGCTGAGTCGTAAGCAGTGACATACTGAGAATGAAAATTCAGTGGGTAAGCGGTGCGTGAGGATAGACGGAATAACGCAATCAAATATTTGCATTTTTCAGTTAAATCCCTAACTATTTTATTGTTTTTGGATATCGGAAGACTGATCGGAAACTGCATACTTCTCTTTTAATTCCTGTGCGCTTTGTAATTCAGTTATATAGATTATTTACTCGTACATTCTAATATCTTTGCAAGTCCAAATTGTGAACTTTAAAATAATTTCCCTAATATAACTATGTTGAAATTTCAATGAATAGTTTCGACATTGTGCCAATGTAAGTTCGTAACAACTTGTTCCAACGTCTTGGAACTTGACTTTCTAGGAGATGGCAACTCTTCGAAAGTTAGTGAGCTCATTTTTTCTCTTCGAGAACTCATAACGCACAAATACAACGAAAGTAAATTTTCTTAGTCTTAGAGACACACAGGAAGATACTAAAATAAAGTATGGTTCGATGAAAGCGAGTAATTAATAATCATTACTTATCGTAGAAAATGTATTAACATTTCCAAATATTTTTGTAATTGTTATGCAGGAAGACATTTTTATAATATATTTACTTAGTCTTTGGACGAAAATGTGGTCAGTTCCGTAATTTAGAACATTTAGTGGCGATATAGTAAGACAATCAAAGGTTGTTAAATTGGTAGGCCTCGGAGAGGAGACCAACTAAATTGTTCGAGCACTCCCGAACTGTATTAACAAAAAATTAAATTCTAGTTTTAAAAATTATGAAAAAAAGTTGATTGAATCATCGATTGAACGGTAATGATATTATCTGTAGATTACATAGGAAGCGATCTTTATCATTTAGTGGAAAGGCCAAGAAAATAAATTCCTCTCTTAACCCGGATGATCTCGTCAAATATATGTATAATTCCATCTCTGGTGTAAATCAAAGATTTTAATTAAGAGAATATTTAAAATGAAATCTTTAACGTAGTCATTTACCTCATCGGGTACCCAACAGTTGAATTAATAGTAATTATGTATAGTAACTAGTTTAAAATCCATAAATAAATAGCGAAACCGCGACAAATTAAATTAGATGCCCAAAATCGGCACAACATGCATCAACAAAAAAAATCTAGTACAAAATGGTAGCGATGAGAGGTCGCATTGTTCAACGTCCGCCAGGGTGCACAAAACAAACCTGCAAACGATACATCGAGTGTATAGAGCACTTATGTGTGTCAACAAGTTTAAATATCTGCTCAACAACTCTGTAATTATTCCACTCGACAAAACCGGTAAATCATGCAACTTGGTACAACACGCGAGGGCGGTGGCGCCGCACGGGCCAATGAAGGAAAAAAAAAGACATTTGCGGAAACAGATGCATGCGGAGTAACAGCACGCAACGCCAACGATGGTGGCGCGCGATGCGACGGCGCGCAAAAACTACTGCGCAGGGTTGCCAGATGTGTCATGAGCTCTTTTCCCACTACGAAATTTCCTCAAATAACCTTTCCAATGAAACGAAATTCCCCAACATTGAAACGAAAAATATTCTCCAAATTATGAACCAAAGGCATGACCTGTCCCTGACAATTCCATTGACTGTTATCTAGGCTATCCGGGACGAGCCGCGTCACTAACATGGTGGCTAACGTTCCGGCTAGCGTACTTCCTCAGAGCGTACTGCTATTGTAGCCTACGCAACCATTCCACTTACTGTTCCTTTAAATTCAAATCATCCAATCATCGTCCTTTGAGCTGTTCGAATCCCTACACCCATACAGCCATTCCCAACTCTAAACCTTTATCTTCCTCTTTTCGTGTTTTTTCTTTCTCCATGCCTGTCGTTCATTTTTCTCCTTTTGATAATAAGAGAATAACGTCTGTTGTTTCTTTTTTCTTCATAATAATTGAAACGATAATATTTCTATCACGACTCCGGATGAATATAATTTCCCCAAACATTTCCTCGTCCTTTTGTTTTCCCCATTCGTTCCCCGCAACGAAAACCATCCCCGTTTCGTAGACAAAACTTCCCAATCTGGCAACCCTGAACGCGACCGATGTTGGCGCGCGATGCGATGGTGCGCAAAAACTACTGCGGCGAGCGGGATGTGCCTGGAACTGCGGTGAGGCGCGTTCATAGAATCGTCGGACAGCAGACTCACGCCTTCAAGGAATAGTTATTTCGCGTTAAATAATTTTCCGTGGAAGAAGTGAATGATTTTTTTCCCTCAGGTTTATGAGGACGTGGCAATAATTCAGTTTACATTTTGAAAACGAACAATAATTTTACAATATAAACACTTTCACACAACTCTATTCAGATTTATATAATTAAAACTTCAAAATTACGAGGTATTTAATAGAAAAAATATCTCTCTCTACCTCCTCCCATCATCGATACGTCTATCTACAAACCAACGCAAACAGGCTAGCACAAAGAAACAATGCAACCTGGCGCACAAGTAAACAAGGACATTCTCACTGAACTCATCAAAAAGGTTCTAATTTTAGCAGATAGTCATGGGCAACAAATCTTCTCCTTCCTTACTGGAAAACTCCCATCCAATGTCTCTGTTTCCTGTGTGTTTAAATCTAATGGAAGGATTGGCGACGTGACCAATGAATTGGACACCCACACAAAAACTCTCACCAAAGGGGATACAGACATCATCATGTGAGGGAATAATGACATCAATTTGTCACTATACACCTGAGCAACATACTGACAAACTACAACGTGACCCCCAAAACACGAACATTATAGTCTCTGCTCTTCTGGTACAACAAACCAACATCGTGCAAAGAATTTAAACGCGCAAACAACCAATTGAAACTGCATATGAGAGACACACATGTTAAATTATTTGAGCTAAACTTTCTCTCAGAGAAACACTTCATCCGGCATGGCCTTCACCTCAACCTTGTCGGAAAACGTGCACTTGGTATCTTGCAAAACACATCTTTTCACAATCTCGATAGTGTCCTTCCTAAGACACATCCCCACCCACATTTCCTAGTTTTCTTCCATCCTCCGGGACCTCTTTAGGTCCAATTACCTTATCCCCTGAACCCAATTCTTGAACTTACCTCTCCTATTATTCATTCCTCTACATCTGTCACCCTCCTTCCTCAACTCCTGTTACTGCTGGGTCAAGATACTTCCTTCTAACACGCATTCGAGGTAAAAATGAGACAAATAAATAGCCATTATAGTCAGATGAAGCAGAGAAACATCCATGTAGGTAAATGCAAAATATTCGAATAATGCATCATAATGTGCAATCTCTTTCAAATAAAACTCAATTTATCGAAGCATAATTACTATGTGATCTAAGTCATATGGTACAGTCAGTTGGTGCTCAAAAGAGTTCGATTCAGGACAAAATTCCGGAAGTTTTTTTTTGAAGAGTTCCATTTGTTTATGAGGGTGCTGAATTCGAATTTGTTGTTTGCCACTTAAAAAGGGTCGGCTTCCCAGAGAAAATGGCAAAAAAAACTAAAAATTTCGTCCAATTTTTAGTTTTTCACTTACAAGTTCAAAACTATGCGTTTTAACGAAATAATTGATTTTTATAAAATTAAAGTAGATAAAATGTCCAACAAAATGTATACATTAACTTTGAATTTCTGAAAAACGGATTAAGCGGTAAAGCGCGATGAAAAACAGATTAAGTGGTAAAGCGCGATGAAAAACGGTTACTCTTTGGGTCTCTGGACAAAGCGGAAGAATAGGTCTCTCAGCCATCCTATTTCGCGACGGTGCACTACTTTTACTTTATCATGCTTGAAAGCAGCTATTGTGAACAAATAATTGACATGGTTACATGATTAATACTCCGATATTCATATTATCTGTACGGAAGTATTTTCTCGCGCGGAGTATCTGTAAATACTTGAAACATACAACACTAGGAACACGTGCTTTAACTATTTTTGGACAAGGAAGAAAATCATCATCAATCACTATCATCAATTCTTCAATGGTAAATTGATATTTCTCGTCCCGGTTTCCAAGGGAACTAAAAATAACTTGCTTCGCTGAATCTAGATCATCTCTGCCGGGCCTGACTATGGATTGGGTTCCTGTCTTCTTTGGGGACTGATAAGAGCCTTCATGCATATCAAATAAGTAGGCGCATCAGCGGCTAGCAAGTCATTTACTGCTTCCATGCAATATACTGTAGAACGAGAAAAAGCATTGCGATTTCTCGCGAGTCATACAATAATTTCTCTAACAGTTAATTTCCTCACAGGATATACCATATTTCGTTTGACTTTTTGATTTGTCGCGCGAACTCTCGTGGTTCCTCCTCTCCATAAACAAAGCAATGAGTTTTGACAGTGAATGTACCTACACCGAATACATTTAATTCGCAAAAAATCGATAGATAAAATTGTAATTAATAATACCACAACTAAATATGAAATAAAAACTCCTAATCTAGGTTACAGTGACCACGATGCACAAATTTTTATAATTACTAGTAACATAAATACGGATACAATAAATAATACATTCCAATAATACAGTGCAGAACATTCGCTAAAGTTAACATAAAATTATTTACGGACTTCTTGCTGAAGGAATCATGGGGCACCGTTTATAACGCTGTTGACACAAATGAAAAATATAATATATTTTCCTCAACGTTTACATTTCACTTTATCGCGTGCTTTTCTCTTAAAAAGAGAAAATTAAACAAATTTTGGAAAAGAAATCATAACGTTTAACCCGATTTCCATGCCTACTTCCGGGAATACAAAAGAATTTTAAGGAAAGAAATAGTTCAGGCAAAAATAATTAAAAATAATCAGGATATTTTGAACGCTAGTAACACATCTAATGCAGTGTGTAATATCGTAAAAAATACGACCACATCATCTCGATACTTTGTAGAGAATGTTGTTTTAAAGGATGATGAAAAATAGGCTAGTAATATGAAAAACATGCACCTCTGCAACCAACAATTTTCTAGAATTGCGGCTGCTTTCAGAAAGTGAATAAAACCACAAAATTCAACATCAAATGTTTCCAAAATTTTGTCAACAGGATGTTTATTTCCGCTTCTAACAAAATCCTGAGAATAGTAAGTTAACTAAAAGATAAATATTCATCGGTTTAGAAGAAATTATGATTGTTTATTAAAAACTTGCGCAACTGCCTATATACGTCAGTTATCTCATATTTTCAATGCTTCTTTATCCACAGGAATATTTCAAGATATTTTCAAAACACCAAAAATTAAGCACATTTAAAAAGGGGAACAAAAATGAAATCAAAATTACCAGCCAATCTGTTTTTTTCTTAAAAATATTAGATATTATTCTATACAGTGTTATTTATTAAATGAACATAGTTTATATTTGTATTGTATATTTTTTAAAAGACTTAATACTTGTAACCAGTAATATGCCTGTAGTGGTAGAAGTAAAGCTGAGGAAATTCAGGAATCGCTGCTGCAAGCGCAAAGAGCCACACACGAGCGATATTTCGAATGACAAGCATAAAAGTAAACAAGCAGTATTCTCATATTGTTAGTTCTGTTGTGTCTAGTGTGCGTAACTATTATTCTGTCCATCCCGACTGTAAAACTGAAAACATATCTTGTCCAGTAATTGGTACATAATAGTGCAGTTGTAACAGTAATAGTAAAAGCAGTGGCGAAAGATATTGAGTTATTGCAACTAATTAATTCTGTAATATTGCAGAGATTACGGTGAACAGGACACGAAGTAAGAATGGACCACGATACCCTGCCAAAGAGAGTGTTAAATGGTAAATTGTATGTCAGTAGACGTCAAAAACCGGGGAACCAAACACTATGAGAAGATGACGTGGCTAGAGACGCAAGATAATTATTGAGAGTACCAATATGAAAAAGAGCAGCTGAAGGCAGGAAAGGATGGGGGAAATATATTCTGAAGTCCAAAGGCAAGTTGGACTGCAGAGACATTGAAGAAGAAGAAGATCTAATTAATTCACAACTGATGGAATAGTTAAATTCCCAACCACAATAGGTGAAGTTGTGTAAGATTCAATCACCTAGTGGTTTCCAAACACTCTAGTTCTAACGAATATCGCATGCAAACTAATTTCTGAAAACCACTCGAATTTGCCCCACATAAGTAATTGTAAAAAATTGAATGGACTTCAAAATTATCAATTCTTTCTTAAAAGTAAAGAAGATTTCTCGTGGTATGTGTATTTCAAGTAACGCGTATACTGATTGATGAATTAAAGAGTGAAGTTGTTAGTACCTATTAATTATTTATTTCTGTCAGAAAAACAAGTTTTCATTTTTATTTTTCTAGTAATGAAAGAGAAAGAACTGTGCAACAAAGAAAAACGATTATTTCAGAGAATTTTTGACTTTTTTTATTATCCTCACTCCCAACCCTAGTCTACTCCTTTAGCTTCTTAGGTAATCTCAATGTTTTCTTGAATTCGTGGGGTAAAATGAGGGCAGGGATAGAATTCGAATCCCATATCTCATTTAGTATTCGAGATTTAACTCGCTAAATATGTCATCATTAGCTAATAAATGTGTCCCAATTGTTGTTTCAATAATCAAATTTCTATGTTACCCGTTTCCAGTAGTCGATCCAGAATTGGACGCTGGGAAATCTAGATATTTCGTATTGAGTTCACTAAATTTTGATTATCGCATTTCATCGTTAAAATGGTTCAAAATCAGGATGTGGAAACTATTAGCTTATTTATATCGATATAAAAATGAACTAATACCATTCCACAGAACGTATCGTACAACATATTGATTTAGTGCTGCTTCGAATTGCTCATTCGATATGGAGATATTAATCATATTCTATTAAAAAAATTAAGGAATGTTTCCTCAAGATATAAGTATTCATTTTACATTACAGAACATATTTAGTACAAACTACTCGATTAGTGAACAAATGAACGTAAGAGACTGTGGGCCGAAGCCAAAGTTACGGTGAGTAGTTATGAGTGTAGATGTAAATGTGACTGAAAGAAGATACAATGATGGTAGTGTTAGAGAAGGAGATAGTATACTGGAAGTGGAATGAAAGATTATACTGAAAGCATCAAGAGAGATATATGGTAGTGGAAGTATAAGGGTAGATGGTATTGAAAAATATAGAGCTGATGAAAGGAGAAACACCAGCGTTAGGGCTGGGTGAAGCAGCAGTAGGCGTGATCGTCGGCATCGTCTTCATTCACATCGACATAGTCATCAGTGCGACGTGACGTGGCAATGGGTTGGTTGGTGGTTAGAGGTTCCGCGCGCGTCAACTACGGAGATCATTAGTCCCGTAAGTGTAGTGCATGTCCCTCCTTTGGAGGTAAGATCTGGCTCCAACCTACCGTCGGCTAGTGGGATTTCCCCAATCAGGTATCCCATCAGGAAGGCACAGCCCCAGCCGGGACACGCTCTAAGCCCCCGACCGGTCTCTCAGCATGTATGGTAGTGTAGTGCACGTCAGTGAAAGGGCGTGTAAGAGGTGAGGATAGGACAAGGAAGAGGAAGGTGAGATCGCGCACGGTTCGTGGCCCATTTGGGGTAAGGCTCCGGCATTCTCCTGGTGATGATAGGAGAAACCACGGAAACTCCCGATCAGAGCAGCCAGCCTCTATAATACTCCAGACTGCATTCGACCAAGCTGACAAGCTAGTGTCGAACATCTTGCACGTGGCAATGAAAATTGAGACGATAGGAGCATGGGGGTGACAATCAAAGTGAAAGGCTGAAGAGGGAGAGACACCATTGGTGGGGGGGTGCAGCAAAGACCTTGAAGTGTCGAAGAGGGACCGCGGGCATGGCTGGAATAGGAACAGGGCATTAGAGAGATCGCAGAGGAGCGGCGATTTCCGCAAAGCTTGTGGGGCGGTGGCGGTAGGGGCAGGACAGAGGACCGGCAGCGGGGGCGGCAGCGGGGCGGCACGGGGCGGCAGCGGGCGGCCAGCAGGGGCGGCAGCGGGGGCGGGCATGCCGGGGCTGCAAGGGGGGCGGCAGCGGGGCGCCAGTAGCGGGCGGCAGCGAGGAGCGGCCGGGGGGCGGCCGCGGGGGCGGTCCGCGGGCGGCCCAGCGGGGGCGGCAGCGGGGGCGGCAGCGGTGGGCGGCAGCGGGAGGCGGCAGCGGGGGGCGGCAGCGGGGCGGGGCAGCGGCTGAGCGGCAAGCGGAGGGCGGCAAGGCGGGGCGGCAGCGGTGGGCGGCAGTAGGATCGGCAGGCGGGAGGGCGGCCGCGGGGGCGTTCAGCAGGCGAGGCCGGCGCAGCGGGGCGGCCAGCGGGGGCGGCAGCGGCGGCAGCGGGCGGCCCGGCATCGGCGGGCGCAGTAGCGGCGGCAGGCGAGCGGCGGGCCGCGGGGGGGGGCAATGGGGGTGGCAGCGGGGGGGCGGCCGGGGCGAGGCAGCAGCGGCGGGCGTGGGCCGCGCCCGAAGCGCGGAAGGAGATCGATCCTCCCTGCTAATGGCCACTCGAGCCGCCGCGCCGCGCGCGCTCTCCAGCGGTGGCCGGGGGACTTGCTGTGCCCTCTGCTCCCGCGTTGCCCGGCCGCAGACTGTTGCTGAAAGATTCAACGCGGATGCGCTCGCATCTTTCCCCAGCTTTTCACAGGCATGGCTTAAGATGTTTTCGAAGATGAGGGCTTCCAGCAAGGTGTGAAATTACTCTTAAAATCGAATTGATAGGTTATGTTGTATTAAGGGGGTGTTACATTAATACTTATAGAGAAAAGGAAATTGGCATGAATAAAAGCTGAGATGTCTATAAAAAGTGATTCTTTACATGATGAACCGAAATTATTATCGCTCTGAAATGCTACACTGTACAGCATAACATTAATAGCTGTATTGCTATGAAAATTCTTTTCTTAACTTTTACTTTTAAACCCTAAGTAACAAAAACCGGTTCACTTAATTTTGTACGAATTAACACATGAATACATAATTTATGTAACAAGATATTTTATGAAACGTGGTTATCTATTTCATTTGATGAGATACTCATCGTTACCGATTTTTATTATTTCTGGAGTTTAGTTCCTCTTTTCTTTCTGTATTAAACATTAAAATACTAACCAGCACAAAATAATGTCACATTTCTTCGTTTCCATAAGTACCTAGTATAGAAGCATTAGCCATATTCACCATATGCGAATACCACTGAAAATACAATATTAATAAATACTCCTTTACTTTATTTTAGAAAACAGTCTTTGCACCTAAATAGGAAATGATTGTTTCCTGTTGACTATACACGAATCTTGAAAGAATTTTACAATAAATAGTTCGATTGTCCAGGTTCTCATACGACGAATTCACTTAAATTTGTTTCAGTATATCTTCAAAGTGAGAAACTAGCGTCATGATGTCCTCATACCCAAGACGTCTTTTCGAGACTTCTCAGTCATTGGCTCTAGCAGGGTCGTGCGGTGATTACTTTGTATACCCCAGCTGCTAGCGGCCAAGCAGCTTCCCACCCCCCTCCCCTTCCCCCACCCCCTCCCCATTCCCATTTTTTTTTATCTGATGAAGTTGTGCATATGCTAGTGTTGGCCAACCATTTTCTCGTGGCCGTTCTCGTCAACCTTGAAGGACCGGGTGGAGGAGGAACGTAATCCATTCCCAGCTAGCTAGTGTTCAGTGCATATTGGCTGCGACTTCTCCCCGATCGCTGCATGCATCTGGTCCAGTGAAGTAGATGCGCGCGCAACATCCAGGCCCAGCAAAGGTGTCAGAAATGGGTTTAGAGTTCTGGAGAGGCAGTAGGCCGCCGCACAGATGGTAGAAGAGAGTACAGTGGGTACAATATTTTTTTATCATTTTTAAGATACGGTTCATTGTAATTCTCAAAATTCATCAAATTATTATTTTTGCTTACCTCAGCAGTGCTGGGGTTGCTGGGATCAAATATATGCCACTGGGCGCGAGACTCATACTATTGTTGGTGGGATGAAAAAAAATTAAATTATCTGACGTTTATTGAACAAACACTTTACTCGATTTGCTCGGATTAATTCTCTCAATATTAGGTAATGTTTGACAAGCAAAGTTTGTCGGTGACCGATTAACAAATTACACGTTGATCCAAATGCAATGTACGTAAATCTCATGAACGAAAATGTAGAACAATTGTGCCTTTATTTACTTCCTATGAATCTTGTCATTAAGATATTTTAAAACATCATGAAGTTTGTTTTATCATCACATGAAAAGTTTTCATAATAATTTTTACGTCGCACAAGAAGCTGAATAATTATATGATTATGTTCACGATAAAATTGAAACCAAATAAAAAATTAAAATATTCTCAAAATGTTTAAGTTTCATCTTTTATATAACTCGCATTTTAAGGTTAAAAATTATTTTAAAAATGTAGAACAATCTTTTGAAAAACGTTTATCCCATTTTTAGAAATATTTCCAATATTCTATCAAATAACATTGAAACAAAAATCATTCAAGGGAATGTATAAAATACATAATTATAAACTGAAGTACTTCACACTTCCACAAATTTATTCGATGAATGGCGACGGAATAACAAACGAAAGTTCAATCCCATAATTTTTGGAATGTTGACTAGGGTACCGAATGAAAATAAAATATTCTAGATGGTAACTGGCTGCTGTAGTACAGGGGATGTTCTATATCTTTATACAGAATATCATTTTGTTCTGAACTAACAATTGCATATTTTCTCTTAAAACAACCCTACGCGAGATTTACTCATCGACACTATCAACACAATACCTTGAATGTTATTTCAAATACTGCAAATAATTTCAGAGATGATATCAGTTAAATACCTTATAAATTCCATGTAAAATTCTAAAACTTCGCCAAGAAAAAAGGCATTTGTTGTCTTAAAAATTGTTTTCCTTAATGTACGCATTTGCTTGAAAATATCTAAAATTCAGATTCAATATACAGTAATGATATAGATTGAC